GGGCGTTGGCCGAGCGTTGGCCGCGCGCACACTTTCGGAGTTGTGTCAGTAACATCGTCGCCATACATGGTCGTGCAGAACGACTGCGGTTTCGTCCACAGCGGTTGTGGTAACGACAATCACACACACTGTGTGCACTGGTCGCACGTTTACTTCCGAAGCTTGATTTCGAACAGCCTCCGTTCGAAGGTTTCGATACTTAAGCTCACATCACACGCCGCGATCAGTAAAAGTGTTGAGTACATTTGAATTTCGGTCCTTAGGACACAAGAATTTGGCTGGGGGATTTCATGAATTCGTACCTGCCGTAGTTTCACATCACTGAGACTCCACTGTACGTTTACATGAATGCCTGTCAAATTCGTTTATAATTAATGCGGTGGGCTCACAAAAAGCCTGGAACGGACTAAGCTCAATTTTTGTAAATGCGGCCAGATCTTGCACACATATTTCAATTTCAAGAAGATTTTTATGGCAACCATACAAACAGAAAAAATGATCAAATCAGGTAGTATCCCGGACAATGCGGAAGACTTTGCATGCATGTGATGATGATAGCACAAATACATATTGTTCTTTCCTGGTGGTGCCGTTTTTTTTTTAACCTCCCTGACTAGCAACGGCAATTAACTGAAGCCAGTTGTCGAGGCTATGCTATTTATGATTTTTTTTGTCGGAAATAAAATATTTTTTGTAAAATTTCGGGCAAGATTCATAAACTCATAAGTGCGGTTGAAGCCTGTACATTGTAGGGGAAAATCAGAAAAGTTGACATTTATGCAGCATAAACAAGTCGCTAGAAGCACTATCGGCATCGCAATAAATTATCAGCATTGCTAGACCACATCCCTGTTCATAGCCTCTCAGATAGAAAAATACTACCTATAAAATAACTACATCCTTCTGGGATCAAATACTGCAGCTACGATGTGTGAGGTGTCGGTCGCGCAAGAAAAAACTGGTTCCAAAAAAAATATGTTGTCGGTTTAAAACGTAACTGCAATGAATACCTAGCTAAATCCTATAGAGCCAAATGCATATTCTGATTTTTTCACTGCTTAAACTGTAATGGTTCGCCTTATGCTCAACGTTATTGCATACCCTTCATATCATTGTACTTTTATTGGACATAAAACTGAACTGTGCTGCAGCACTTGCCGTGGCAATATTCTGCCATGAAAAGTCTTTCATATTTTCTACAATCGCAATGGTCAGTCGATCAATGATTGCAAGTACTGTGCAATTGCGGCCACACCTAGAGATGTAACAACCAAGAATAAATGACGGTGAACTGACATCCGGAAACTCAAGTGCTAGATGATCGCTCAAAGCCCTAAGCACTCCTCACCATGTTGAATCAATGCCTCAGCCTGCTTCCATGAATGTCTTAGTATGTTCATATTTACAACATGAAAAGTCCTTCACGTAATGAATGACCGTGTCCGTTTCAGTTAGTCTAAAAGTCTTCAATGTAATTATATTGGTTAATCCAAACACAAAAAAGATAGCGTTGGTGAATTTCTATAGTACTAAATAAGCGCTCATTATTGGGCAAAATTATTCTCATTGATCGCAATGAACTGCAAAAAGTTATTCAAGAAAAAGACAATGGATCAGTTTTATCAAAACAAAGTTAAAAATTTTCAAACAATGTTTTCAGAGTGTTGTTGCTACGGCATCAAGTACGCCTTCTCTTGCTGCTCATTGACGTCATGTAACACCAAATTCGGTGTATGCGGAGCTAGCTAAACGGCCGCGAGCGCATTATGAAGGGTCTCAATATACTTTGATGTAGAGTTGACGCACACGCACGCTGGGCACAGCGACGCTACGTTAGCAAAACTCGAGCATTCTATCGTCTGATGCCAGGCGTGATCAGCGTCCGTTTGCGTGGCCCGATGGCAACCAGCGCGAAATGAGACGTGCTTCATTTCGCGCCGATGCATTACCCAGAGAACACTGCGCCTCCCTCTTATCGTAACGGAGGGACGCCGGACGCGCTGAAACGAGCATGCGTCAAAACAAAGCAGCGTGACGCGCGCCTGCGAATATATGGCAGGACTGGCACCTGGCGTAGAAACGCTGGCGAGCACGCGCACAGCGTCCCGTCAAAATGTATTAACGCCTTGACTGTGGCATGTAGTAATACTCTCACTTGACACGCATCTTATGATTATTATGTTTGCACCAGTCACATATCTTCACCATCCATTGAAGTCCCGTAATACAAAATTTGGCATATGTGTAGGTAGCGAAACGGCCGTGAGCGCATCAGCAGTGTGGCATGTAGTCATGTTGTTACACGACATGCATGTCGCGATTATCATGTTTGAATGTGTTATTTACCTATGTCATTCGTCAGCGTCATGTAATGCCGAGCTTCGTACATGTGAAGCTACTGAAACGGGCCGAGCGCATCATAAACGTAGCCTGTAGTCATGTTGTTACATGGCACGCATCTCATGTTTATCATGTTTGCACCAGTATCATACCTTCATCATCCATTCACGTCCCCCAATACCAAGTTTGATGTAATTGAAGCTAGTGAAACGGCCAACAGCACATCATCAGCGTGGCATGTAGTCATGTTGTTACATAGCACGCATCTAGTGATTATCATTTTCGCACCAGTCACATACCTTCATCATCCATTCACAAACCATAATACCAGATTTGGTACATGTGACGCTAGCGAAAAGGCCGCGAGCGCATCATGAGCGTGGCATGTAGTCATGTTGTTATATGACACGCATGTCATGATTTTCTTGTTAGGGTCTGTCACTTGGGTTCGTCATGCAATCATGTCATACCATACCACTTTTGCAACACGCCATGTGAAGGAAACCACCACAAGAGCTGCAGAACCATGTCATGTATATCATGACATTCATAACATACATATCATAATTTTGATGATGTGATTAGTCAAATATGTTCTTCATACAGTCATATTATGCCATACCAAGTTTAGTATCGATTCCGTTATTGAGACGGCAAGGAGAGCTAAAAGTCATAGGCGGATAGATAGATAGATAGATAGATAGATAGATAGATAGATAGATAGATAGATAGATAGATAGATAGATAGATAGATAGATAGATAGATAGATAGATAGATAGATAGATAGATAGATAGATAGATAGATAGATAGATAGATAGATAGATAGATAGATAGATAGATAGATAGATAGATAGATAGATAGATGATAGATAGATAGATAGATAGATAGATAGATAGATAGATAGATAGATAGATAGATAGATAGATAGATAGATAGATAGATAGATAGATAGATAGATAGATAGATAGATAGATACGCTCAAAGTTGCCGAAGTTCGCTAAAAAATCCTTCACATTTAAAACTCACGTTGCTCAATGATGGCAAACCACTGCAGCGAGACCACAGCCTTGATAATATTGATTTAGCAACCGCAGAGTATGGCGTCTCTTTGCTTAAAGGAGCAATGACACCAAAGTTCAAACTCGTCATGTGGCGTTCATTCGATTGCTTGGTATGGGTGAGTGTTTCTAGCGCAATATTAAGTGCGTCTGTTACACAGAACTTATTCTATTCCAAGCGCAAAGAGCGCCCAATGCTCATCGGCGTGTGCCCGGCCATAAGACATCGACAGTATTTTGACGTGTTCTGCAAGCTCCTATATGCCACGCCTCAGGCGCCAAGTGACAATAAGTGAGCAGCGATGACGTCTACAATTTTAGTATTGTCATTGTGGTGTCTACATGTGGTACCATCTGGATGCCTAGCAATGGCTTTGTTTGCTTTGTTTCGCTAGCTTCGTGCAGCGCGTTCCTATGAATCCCGCGTTTTCGTTGAACCGCTTCGGGTGATTTGTGGGGGAGTCGTGAGCACGAGTGTGATTATTTCAAGCTTTGGTCATAGCGAACAATTAACACACACGCAGCGTTCATATGCCTTACCAGATAGCACGGGCCAAGCGTGAGTTTCCAGCTGCCTCGTCGGTGCTCGGTTCAGCGTCGATTTCAGAATCACTGCTCATAAGGAAGCGATTCGACACGCCACAAATCTCCGTGATTCCATAATCCACAGTGTTTTCCTCGTTGCTTGTGGACGTTAATGAGGGTGGCAGCGACAATGAGAGCGGCGGGGACATGCCTACACATGTGCGTGCCAAGTAGACGAAATGTCAACGAAAAATTGCGTCGCCATTTCGTGTGGCCACAAAGTCTTGCGGGTGGGACAACGGGAGGTGATCGCTTGGCAACGCTGGCAGCACTGAAAATTGGCGGGCTTTGCATACGTTTTTAATATTGCTCAATAGTGGTCATAAAATCAATATTTTGTGCACTAATTCATCTCATGGTTGCATTACTGTGCCGAATCATTACTCGAGGATTCATAACTACGCGTTGATGCAAAAAACGCGACATGTGTCATGTTGATGTTACTGCTCCTCGTATTCACCGTAACCACAGGGGAGGGCACGCCAGCCTTGTGCCTGTGAAGGTATCCCGCTGCCACAGGACCGGCTATCTACACATTCTGTGAGCTAGTTCAGCTCTTGAATTCACACGAGTGAACTACACACTAGCAAAGAAATAAATTACGGAAGGAGTGCACAAACCCACCATGAAAAAGTGAGCGATGATTGTTGACCCAGCAATGCGCCGAACTAAACACAAACCTTAATATCGGATTGTCTTGATACGCTCCCATTTATGGTACTCGACCGGCAAATGAAGCCACGAACCATTTAGCCTAGTGTGAAAAAAACCGTAAAGCCATAGTTAACTTTGACTTAAATTAAATTACGACTATTTTAAAATAAGACGTTGAGTTCTTGGTTTTGGTTATTTATTCCCTGCTCACGTAGTCGCACTTCAATTTTATCAGCGGGCGTTGATTCCTGTAGCAGTATGTTTTTGACAGTTTTCATTCCAAGTTTCGCGACCGATATAATTTCACCATGGATAGCGTTCAAAGGCTGCGTCACCACTGAGCGCCTCGTTTTTCCGCAGGAGCAGCGTGAATACCGTCAACTGCTGCCCGACTGCCAGAGAAAGTTGTTTCCCGAACTCGACTCGCAGCAGCTGCAAGAGAAGCTCGACACCGCCCTCGCAAAAGGAGACCTCAGTCTTTACGTCCAGGTAATATCCTCCATGGCACACACAGTGGCATTTTTGTGAGCGCCCCTAATGTATACCTACAGGCGATATGACTATGATGCAAGTCGTAGTAGCGGGCTTAGGCGTGCGCACCAAGAGTGGGGTGCCCCCCCCCCCTCCTTGTTACGCAAAAGGGGGAGGTGCTCAAAATCTGCCCCATACATTGACTTAGTAGGTGAGGCAGCTGAGGGGAGGGACGAGCTGCGACGAGCCTTCTCCCCGCCTCCCTTGATGCTAGACCCTACGAACACCTATGCAGGAAGGCACGAAGAATGACCACCATCCGGTGCTCCTTAAGGTGCATTGACATCGCCCTGTACGCAGACGTCAAGCATTTCCTTTCCATCGAAATGTGACTGCCGTGGCCGGGATCAAAGCAGTGACCTTCGGTTGATTGCAGAGTGCCATGACCACTCCTTTCGCGCGGCAGACGTTCAAGGGCTAATGAGTGGAGGGAAACGAACAATGAAGCATGCGTGCGCATCGCCTTTAACGTCGGCTGATTGTGTTACGGCCTCTTTCGACCATATTTGGTGACATTGTTTTGGAAAACGCAAGCTATGCTATATTATTTTCAATGCGAAAACATGTGAGCAGAGAAGCTGCGCCTCACGAGCTGGCGAAACAACAAAATGAGTCATGCTCGTTTGGCACAGAGCACAGTTTGACCACTATAGCCACCATATGAACATATAATTACCTGTGGTGTAATGGGTGCTGCTTCTCGCGATAGTACTCGTATGAAGCCACCTTAGTATCGTCCGCAATTTTAGTAGGAACTGTTTGTCCTCCCCGTACATTAACCCTCTTGACTAGCTGCAGGTATGCGACCAATTTGCTGTTAACCTCGCATCGGTAGTGTTTTACTGGCAGTGTAACCATGGGCTATGCCTCTGGCAGTAGTGATGCTGAAAACAAAGAGAAGCGCAAAGCTTCACTACATAGGTTACTGACCCCCCAGAGAAGCTGGTCATATACGTACAACGGCGCAATTGCGACACTGAAGAAAATATAGGCCGACAGGATGCCGACTACATGATTGCGGCCAGCCAACTGCGATGCAATTTCGGCAACAAGTCATACGGCCAGCTCTGCTGACTGTCAGTGTGGTAGACGGCTCCTCTCCTTTGCACAACCATAGTTCCGCACATTAGCGAGTTTTCGAATAGCATACGCATAGCTTCGTGTTACCGTGTCACACCACTGCGCATGCGTCGTACGTTAGCTTTCTGTGGGCTCCTGCTAAGTCACGGAAATAGCGTAGACTATTCGAAAACTTCCTATTTCTGAAGCAGAAAAGTATCTGTGTTTCTTCCTATTATGAAGTGTTGTTTTGTTTTTTCACAACGCAGGACTGAAGAAAACATGGACCATAATCTTTTGGGTCGTTGGCGGTGTGGGACAAATTGTAACTTGGTTGATAGGAAGAAAGGCTATACAAATGGTGAACGTCAGCCTATTATTTATTATTCTATCGCTGCAGTTGGTAACAACAGTAAAGGCAACCTACAATGAAGACTTTCAAGCCAACTTTGCAAGTTTGTTGTGGTGGCAGCGCAGACTTGCATGGAATAAACAAATTTCATGTTTCACAGCTTGTGTCCATATCGTTGAAATTTCCTGGTGGACTTTAATTATACATTGTTTGACTGTTTCAGGTTCACACCTGCGTCTATCTCGAAACGACCAAAGGACAGGTAAGAGGTGCTCGTGCTGTATTGCATGGCTGGAAATACAAGGAACCACGCAGAAGCAGCATGTATCGTTATTTCTTAATTCACTGGCGCAACGCCTACAACACATATTTGTTTGACTAAATACCGTACACCCCGCTTTCTTGCCCTCATTTAGTGGGAGCTACAGAACTTCCACTTGGTTCAAGCGTGTGCTCAGCAAGTGTACGACAACACCACCAATGACGCCATGAGGACCCAGCTGCTGGCAGAATACGAGAAGTACATGGACAATGCGACCATAGAAAAGGCAAGTGTCGAGTTGCAACACAGCATAGCATGTTCCTAGCTTTCTGTATAAATACAGAAACTTTATAACCCAGAGATTCTTCTTTTTTTCGTAGCAGCAGCATTGCTTAATATGTTGAATAGACTGTACGGCGTCTTTCTTAGAAATCAGCTTGCAGCTGTGAACCCATAGTGTCAGAAATTGTACTCAAAATTTAATTACTCTTTCTTGCGCATATATGAAGTGTACCAACTGTCTTGATTCAACTTTTATTACTACGTGTTATGCAAAAATGTTTTCCTAAAACCAGTTTTAACCATCAGTGCAATCAAGATGCAACAATCACCGCGTAATGAAGAAAGATGGGGCGCGATATTCCGCAGCATGACACCGGACCTCCCGTTCGCGGTGCGCTAATTGAAAGTCCTAATGGTTTATCTGTTATTCTGAAGTAACTCTTCTCTTACGTTGCAAAATAGATGAAATAACCAGCAGAAAATGCAATGCAGCTGATTCCACCATTGCCTAAAAGGCTCTGTGTTTCCTTTCGATCTAGCTTTTTGTTTATATTATGTCGTGTTATAAAAGGCTCGCAACGTATATTAGTTAAAGTTGGCTACTTTTGTAGTGTAAACCCAATATAGTTATTTATTTCAATTTGTGGTCGGCAACAACCACTGTAGTACTCGGCCACCTGTACGTGTTCAAAAAATTTTTTTTCCGAACTTCTTACTTCTGAGCATCTCTGAAGCCGTGCATTCTTATTTCGATAGTGTGCTACTAGTATTCAATTCTTTCTCACAGCTTCTGTATTCTCGGGGGCACGCACAAAACATGTGTGAGACACAGAAAAACGGGTAGTTAAGGGATCGTTGAGAGCAAGTCATTAGGAGAGGGCCGAGTTATGTTTTTGTTGTTGTAGTTGTTCTTGTGGTTCCTGAAGTTTCTCTAATAGTGTTCTATGACCATCTTGGCACGCCGAGGCAATCATGTCTCATCAGCTCCCAACATTCGCTTACAAGAGCTTAATTGGCCGTTTGTACACAGTTTATTTAGACTAGGCATTAGGCACTGCCATGGTGGTCTAGTGGCTCCACTACGGCGTCTCTCATAATCATATGGTGGTTTTGGGGCGTTAAACCCCACATATCAATCAATCAATCGTGGTCTAGTGGCTAAGGTACTCGGATGCCGACCCGCAGGTCTCGGGATCGTATCCCGGCTGTGGCTGCTGCATTTTCGATGGAGGCGAAAATGCTGTAGATCCGTGTGCTCAGTTTTGGGTGCAGGTTAAAGAACCCCATGTGGTCGAACTTTCCGGAACCATCCACTACGGCATCTTCCGTATTGCCACCTTGACACTTGGTAAAATTCCTTGTTTATTAGACCTCAATAAACATTCTCTAGACCTCTGGAGCGATGTAACAATATCATAAGGCAGTTTTGCGATGTAATGCCACGGCAATCAATATTACTAGATTAGGCATTAGAAAACAGCTACCAAGATGTTAACTTCAAAAATAACTAAACGGTCTTAGCAATTTTCTGTTGACTATATATATGTATTTAGGATGTATACTTATATTTAACAACCGCGTAATAATGCCCCGGGTTAGTAATTCTGCATCAAACTGTAATGCCCAACTTTTTTTTCAGATCCTCGCATGTCACGCCAGGCGCCTCTACCCGGACGTGAAAAAGGTATGCAGCTTTTGACTTTCTTTTTCACGCGATACTCGCCACTGGTACTTATTGTCATTCTATAGTACATATGAGTAAATGGACCCACCTGAAGATGATAGTGGAATTACGCATTTGGTTACTTTACTTAACTCTCACTGCACAAATCTGGTTTCCTTTGAAAGTAAATCAAAAAGAGTAACTGTGTTAAAATACCGAACAACAGTGAACAAGCCCAAACTCCACCGCGTTCGAGATAAGTGAGACTGGAGCCACTACTCAAACTAGATGATCTTGTCAACCTTTCATGGTCACAATGCTCGGTACACAGGTCATGACTATTTACAATTATCATCAATATATATGAAATGTTCAATTAAATAAGTTGCAAAGATTAAGGCCCGTGTTGCTGTTGCAGTCACAGCTATACAGGACATAAATCGTAGGGATTGCCACTTTTAGGTTTGAGCTCAAGTGTACTGATTATGACGTAGAAATAAACAATTAGGCAGGACAAAAAAAACACAACTTATCACCGGAGAAGATTCCACCTACGACTGATTTCCGAATAATGCGTCAATATATTAATTAACTTGCCAGATGTAAAGGAAATTTTTGGTATCCTGTTTTCTTCGTGTCGCTTGAGAGGTTCTCGTCGAATTTTACGTTTAAATATTGCTCTTGCACGCATCAGTTACCCGGCACCAAATCTTGCAGAACGAGAGTGGAGAAATGACCGTGATGTGCCGCTCGCCTGCGCTGCCCGGCCACGGAAGCAAAAAGTTCCAGGACACTGAGGCCCTACGTATGCGCAACATGGTGGCTCGACAGGTACGATTTATATTGTGGTTATGAAGTGTCAACAAAACGAGGTAATTATAAATAGGACATATCGGGTTGTATAAGACAGTGTCACGGTCAGTAAGTGCAATAACTTTTCCAGCTTTCGGCACATTCTTGTTAAGAGCCCCCTGACTCGGCTAGTGGAACCTCCGGTCCCATCTAGTCTCTGCCACTTTTGGACCACAATGAGGTTCTTACAGACTCACTATACTACGCTGGTATATAGATGGTAACTGTAGGCAATTGCGATACTGTATTATTGCACAAGACTACCACCCGGGTCGTGACCAATTGTATTTATTATAGCGCTGGTGTCAAAAAGTCAAGCAAAAGAGGATAACAAAAATGAATAAATTCAAGGAGTACAGCACATGAGATGAAATGCTTGATGAAGCAGTGTAGGCATGATAATTAATATACGTGAACGCTATTTATTAATTTATGACTACAAACATTAAAAACAGTAAGACACAGCGAGGCCTAAAAAAGAGTATAATTATGTATGCATTCCCTTTTCACTTCTGCCCGAACAGAAATAAGAGATACTTAGTACCTTTCAAACAGTGAGTGTCACAACACTTACTGCCTGTGTGACAGATGGTAGTAGGTGCCGAATTGGTCACCTTACGGCATACTGTGACACAGCTTACGATTACTCTCTACAGAGGAGTAAAAATGCATATCTGGCGAACTTACTACTCTGGCAAGCTCGAATAAAAATGAGAGCGTCTGGTATTATTTTTTTACGTGATTGCAGTGGCCTCCTCTATCATACTTTTTTTTTGTCGCGTTAAGCCCCTTACGCATATTTCAGGATAAAGGAGCGCCGAATCAGTAAGTTTACTCCTGAAAGGTGTAGTGCAAGATTAGAAATGAGAAAAACGCAGAATAGACAAAGACAAGAAGGAGATGCAGAAAGACGAAAGGTCGAAAACCTTGTGTTACGTCATTCAAGTACGATACGCTAGCTGGCCCAAGATGGTGCTGCATATTCTGCGCGACGCCACCATTGCTCGGCGCGCACGATACGTGCTCATCTTTCGTTCTGTCGCGGCGGCCGCTATCGCCACTCCTCTCCCTCGTTTCCCTTCCTCTCTTAAGTTCATACTAAATATAAGCGAGCCTGGCTTGATAATAAAGCGACGTTCTGCTCTCTTGCTGACCGGCGTAAGCTCTGTTCTTCGGCGCGCCTTTGCGCAGCCCGCGGGATGCAAATAGCGTACTGCCCCAAGTATTCTTTGCTTTTACACACATCTACAAGAGCTTGCGTATATATTAGAGGCACATTTATCAAGATAACAGTGCCTAATGATACCCTTTATAAATTTATGGTTAAAAATACAGGGGAGACTTCCATTTCTCCTGACAGGTGCATAGGACAGTTTTTTTTTTTTAGTACTAGCTTTATCTTCTATAATGTCAGCCTCGAAAAAAATAGCGACACACGTTAGCAGAAAGATAGCGCGTATGCCGGATATCGCGTGAGGTTGATTTTATGCAGATCAACTCGTAATGAATTGCTCGCACCGGCACGTGTTTTATCTTGTTCCATTCTGCAATACAGCTGATGTGCTAATTCATGAAGATCGAGTCGGAATAAAAAAAAGGTCTCGAAATGAAGTAATAATATTTGTTCTAATGACGCATGTTTCATGCCTGGTTGTAAAGGCGTGACAATGAAGTGATTGCTAGGTCAAACAAAGTATTCTTAATTTATTCTTGTAGTGGCACTCTAACAGCTATACAAGGATGATTTTTATTACATCTTAAACGCTAATAGGATACTGACAATCATATTTATTCTTATTATTCTAGGTTGGAGAGTGCATTCGCGGACGCTCGACAGTGACTGAGGTAAGAGCATAGTTTGCTTATGTAAGGGCTTCCAAGAGCACTAAAAAAGAAGTCAGACGTTCTTATTGATTTACGTAAAGCTGAAATCCCTGATTTTTAGATGCGAAGTCGCTCTTTGATTAGCCTGTGTAACGCTGTCCCTCCATGCGCTTGTACGAACACGCCACAACGCGCTCCCCTCGCCGCAGGTGTTAGAGCGGTGCCAACTAGGTCACGCTGCAGCTGTGCGTTGATGTCACGGTCTCCTCGGAATGCGTGCAGACGTCACTCTCTCCCTCGCCGGCCACACACTCACCGTAGCGCCCGCAGCTGCCGTTACCACCACTCGTTTTGCTACCTCAACTGCCGCTCGCTACTGCCCAATCGTCCGGACTGGAAGAACAATCAGCAACCACTTGAAGATGGTCCTGCTCTTTGTGCGTTGCCGTGCGCGTCGGCGACGTCACAATTCTCGCGCTGTACCTTGTTTGCAACCCGACGAAGTAACAGGTTCAGCGCTGTCTTAAAGAGACGTTGGCTCACTGCGGCGCGTCGTGTTGACGCGCGCCTTCTATGGTCGCGGGACACTTCAACGTTGATGCCATCGGAGGAAGAAGATAATTGCTTGTCAATTACATGCGTGACGTGCTCTCGCTGAAGTGCGTGTTGGCGGAACAGACACTACCCTCCACTATGAGGGAACGTGCATCGATCTGCTCTTCACCAACTTCGATGTCGAATGTCGGCAGGAACCTCTCAGCGTGCTCTTCGCCGATCGCAAGACAGTGATAGTCAAGGCGAAAGGCGGACCAGCTGCAGTCCAGTGCCAGTATCTACTCTAAATAAACGACAAGACTTACGCCAGTCATCGCTTCCCTACAAGTCTTCTAGTGCTCACCACAGTACCCGCATTAGCAC